TGACTGAGAGGTGGTCCCGAATGAGGTGTACCCTTAGCGGACAGGATGACGAATCGTGCATAACATCTTTGGAAGATTCCCTCTCCGTTGGAAAAAAAAATGTACAACCATTCAAACGTATGTACATAAATGAAAACATTGATGTCCATAAATAAATACATATGTCCATCAGTATTAGGGATTAGGGAAATGAATTGAAACGTACCAAATAAATAAAAATGTACCAACAAAAAATTTAAACGCTTTCACAAAAACAACTAATGTGTAAAACAAATATACATTTATCTAACGCCTTTTAAATAAACATCGAGTAAAAATATACATATTTGTATTAAAAGTAGGAAAAAATTAGTCAGTCATTTCACTTTCTGTGAGATCGTAAGTCAAAATTTGGTTTAAAGACTCTGTATGTATTGTTATATCATGACAAAAACTTTGAGAAGGTTTGATATGATCTTTTGCTTTTACTAAAGAACCAAGGGTTTTTACTTATAATCTATTTCTACGTTTGGTTTTTATCAGAATCTGAACAGAAAAGACACGTTCAACATTTGCGGAGGAATGTGGAATAGACAATATACCTTGAGCTATTTTAAAAAGGTTTGCAAACATCGGGTAGTTCAGTTCGTTTTTAATTAATGTAATTGGTTCCCAAAACTCGCATATATTTAAATTTTTTAAGTTCTCGTGCTCCGGTAGAAAAGGTGTGAGATAGAAAAAGACAAAGCCAATTCTATAAGAAATCGGAATTACCAACCTTGTAATGTAAAACAAATTCAGTGGAAGTTTGTAGTGGAAGGAAGAAAGTATTTGTATAAATAATTAGAAGTTTTGAACCGACGTAAATGTAAAACCAATCGAAATATCACAGCGCTGCATTTCCAAATTGTACCAAAATGGTCTATGTGGTGTCAATGTACTTTTTGGTTTCAAATTTTACCAAAAAAGCACAATTGTGGCAACTTTATTATCGCTGATCAGTATATCAACGAAGTCCGTTTGTTTCATCATACAAACATACGTATATCCATACAAACATATGTACATATGGGCAAATGGTTGTGGTTACACGAAGCACGCTTGCTTTATTTAAGTGTACATATACTTTTTGGTAGCAGCAGCCCTGAAATGTGAAATAAGTTCGTTCGATACTCATATGTATATGTACATACGTGCATTAAAACACGTACCTACGTACAGATGTATGTATATTTATACGTATATATTTTTTCGACCCTGTATGTATATGAATAAATTGCTAACATACTTCCTCCATTCAAAATTGAAATACTCGTCAATTTTCGCATCAGCGCGTTTTTAAAAATCCCACATTGTAAGTTATACTAGAATTCCACGGGCTAGAAAACTGCATTCCAAAAAAAAAATTTGTAAAAAGTCAGAGTAGAATTTTTCTAAATGTTGTATAAAATTTTAAAGTTTGGTTTATATAGGTAGTTAAGATTTTAATTTTTTGATTGAAGTAACATTTCTCTTCTTTTTTATTGGCGCTGTAACCGCCTAAGCGATTTTGTCCGAGTCCAAAACAGCACGCCAGCCATTTCTCTTCTGTGCTAACTGACGCCAATTGGAAATGCCAAGTGAAGCCAAGTCCTTCTCCACCTGGTCTTTCCAACGCAGAGGAGGCCTTCCTCTTCCTCTGTTACCAGCATCGCGGCCCGAGTTGAATATGTTCAGACCAGGAGCGTTTCTGTCCATTCGAACGACATGGCCAAGCCAGCGGAGCCGCTGAATTTTAATTCGCTGCACTATGTCTATATCGTTGTAAAGCTCATACAGCTCATCGTTAAACCGTCTGCGATATTCGCCATCACCAACGCGTAAAGGTCCGTAAATCTTTCGCAGAATCTTTCTCTCGAAAACTCCAAGAGCCGCCTCATCAGATGCTTTCATTGTCCATGCCTCCGCGCCATACACCAGCACATGCATGATGAGTGACTTATAGAGTGTGATCTTTGTACGACGAGAGAGGACTTTACTTCTCAATTGCCTACTCAGCCCAAAGTAGCACTTGTTGGCAAGAGTGATTCTCCGTTGGATTTCAAGGCTGACATTATTATTGGTGTTAATGCTGGTTCCCAAATAAACGAAGTCGTCTACTTTTTCAAACTTGTAACTGTCAACAGTGACGTGGGTGCCAAGACGCGTATGCTCTGACTGTTTGTGTGCTGACAGGAGATACTTCGTTTTGTCCTCGTTCACCACCAGACCCATTCGCTTTGCTTCTCTATCCAATCCCGAGAAGGCAGAACAGACGTAGCCCTTGTTTTTACCGATAATATCGATGTCGTCGGCATACGCCAGCAATTGTAAGCTCTTGTAAAGTATTGTGCCTGAGCGGTTCAGTTCTGCGGCTCTTATTATCTTCTCCAACATAAGATTAAAGAAATCACACGAAAGGGAGTCCCCTTGTCTGAAACCTCGTTTGGTATCAAACGGCTCGGAGAGGTCCTTCCCTATTCTGACGGAGCTGGTGGTATTGCTCAACGTCATTTTACACAGCCGTATTAGTTTCGCGGGGATACCAAATTCAGACATCGCGGCATAAAGGCAACTTCTCTTCGTGCTGTCGAAAGCGGCTTTGAAATCGACAAATAGATGGTGTGTGTCGAACCTATTCTCGCTGGCCTTTTCCAAGATTTGGCGTATTGTGAATACCTGATCTATGGTGGATTTTCCAGGCCTAAAGCCACACTGATAAGGTCCAATCAGCTCGTTGACGGTGGGCTTCAGTCTTTCGCACAATACGCTCGATAAGACCTTGTAACCTATGCTTAGAAGGCTAATTCCGCGGTAGTTGGCGCGTATGGCGGGGTCGCCTTTCTTGTGGATTGGGCAGAGCACACTTAAATTCCAGTCGTCGGGCATGCGTTCATCTGACCATATTCTGCATACGAGCTGATGCATGCACCTCATCAGCTCCTCGCCGCCGTACTTGAATAGCTCGGCTGGCAGGCCGTCAGCTCCAGCAGCTTTGTTGTTTTTCAGCCGCGTAATCGCTATTCGTACCTCGTCATAGTCAGGCGGTGGGACAGCTACTCCATCATCATCGACTGGGGACTCGGGTTCGTCTTCTTCACTACTTTCAGCGTTGCTACCATTCAGTAGGTTGTAAAAGTGGTCCCTCGACAATTTAAGTATATTCGGTCACTAGGTCGCCATTGTTATTCTTACAGAAGTTCGCCCCGGTCTTGAAACCTTCCGTGAGTCGCCTAACCCTCTGGTAGAATTTTCGGGCGTTCTTCCTGTCGGCCAGCATCTCAAGCTCTTCGCACTCACGTATTTCGGCCTCTCTCTTCTTATTGCGGCAAATACGTCTCGCTTCCTTCTTCAGTTCCCTATAACGGTCCCACATGGCTCGCGTTGCGCCCGATCGCAGCGTGGCCCTGTAGGCGGCATCTTTTTTCTCTGCGGCTTCTTGACATTCCTCATCGTACCAGTTGTTCTTTCGGNCCGCACTCACGTATTTCGTCCTCTCTCATCTTATTGCCGCAAATACGTGTCGCTTCCTTCTTCAGTTCCCTATAACGGTCCCACATGGCTCGCGTTGCGCCCGATCGCAGCGTGGCCCTGTAGGCGGCATCTGTTTTCTCTGCGGCTTCTTGACATTCCTCATCGTACCAGTTGTTCTTTCGGACTCGCTGAAATCCAACTACTTCTTCGGCGCCGGTACTTAATGATCGGGAACTGTGGTTCCACTGCTCGCGTATGTCGGATTGTTGAAGAGTGCTCTCAGAGAGCAGGTGTGTGAGTCGAGTGGCGAAAATATTGGCCGTCTGAAGTAACATTTCAGACAGGCAACGATGGGCAAGCTCATGCGCGGTGGTGAAAACTTCCGGCGGTTTAATCACATGCCTTGTGGTTAAATTGGCGAAGTTGGACATTAAGCGGTGAACATGTGCAACGTAGCTGCACAGGTTGTACGGAGGGGGGAATATTGCGCCGGTTCGAACGGCTAAGCCGCTGCTCAACTCAGCAATTCAGCATGCACAGGAACCCTATCGCAGTCTTTAACATTTCCTTTTTTCTTCTTTCTTTGCATTTAATTGAATTCTAAGAAGTCCAGTCGCACGAAAATTTTATAAATTTATCAATTTAAGAAATTTGTAAACGATAAATTTGAATTTGTAATTTAAACCATTTGCTATCAAATTCTTCTTTTGCTTGCGCCGTTTAGTGTGACGGATCCGCGCAAGTGTAAGTAATTTGATGGAAATTGTTTTATTCTCAATAACATTTGGAATTTTAGGTTTGAGCTCTCTCTTACTCCTTCTAGAATAAGGCATAGAAGCTTATAATAAATGTTTTATTCACCAGCGCACCTTGTAAAACAATAGTCGCATTAAAACAAATCAAAAAACTCAAACTTTACAACACAACTTTTGCATTTGGAAAAACCACCTCCACAATTTTGATAAAAAAGTTTGAGAATCCGACATTTTGTTTTTAATAAGTACTAAGAACTGTAGTTAAACTCAGTTTCTTTCGAATTAGTACCTAGTTTATTGAGTAAAAATTTCAAATCAATCGATAGTAAAACGTCTGAGATATAGCGAGTTTAATTGAAAATTCCGCAAAAATTGGACGCTGTGAAAAATAAGATTTTTGGCTTTTTCGACATGAAGGCATCAGTAAAAACTTGGCTAAAATTAACTGTAAATGTATTTTCGTTTAAGCTTTCGATCACGATTGGTTTGAACTGGTTACTTTGACCCAAACACTTTTTTAATTTCTGGAGCACTTTTTGGGAATAATCGGCAAGCTCATTTCATTTTGTTCACCACATTTTAAAGTTCTGAAATTTATGTGATATATTACATCCGGATATTCATATCCTGATATAAACGCGACAAAAAGAAATGCATTTCCTAATTTCCTAGGTATAGAACATATTGAGAGTATTTAGGTCTTCAAAATATCGGTTCTATATAGATTCTAATTGCTAAATTGAGAACTTCGCTTTACGAAATTGTTAAACTTACCCGAATGCAACTCTATGGTGAAAAGCGTACGCACTTAGTAAATATCGCAATCTTGTCCGGTTTCTAGGTTCAAAAACCAGCGCACGGACGCGGTTATCCATCCAGCCTCCCAAAAATTCATCCACATTGTTGTCATCGATTCTTTGGGTTATTGAATGGGGCATTTTTTTCCTTACGAATTCTATAACAAAATATACTTAAGTTAACTACTGTATAAAACTTAGTTTTCATTAATCAAGAAAACGCACAAGAAATATTTATCAACACTTATATAAGGTTTGTTCCACAAGCTGCTCGATGTCACATAGAGTTACACATTCGCGTTCCACAAGTAAGTTTTAGAGTTTATTTGATATACGCTGACAGTTTGAACTTTGCTCGAATTTTTCTACAAGTAACTTGTGGAACAAACCTATTGTTTCAAAAATTTTGATTTTGATGATTATGCATAGTTTTGTAGGTTTAAGGTATCCACACACCTACGCGATTTTGTCGCAATGAATCAGCACCGTTTTTGATGCTACAGACGTTACTGCATCGAAAACGCAAGTACGTACACATCTGTGCGATTTTATCGCCGTAAAAACTGACAATTTATAGACAAACAAAAAATATTTTTCGACAAAAATAAAATTCTTAACTTTTCTACATCAAATATGTTTTGTTTTCTTATATTACGTTCAAATTGGCACCATTTAACTTGTTAAATGAAAAAGAGCTTTTTGGAAAACACAATCGTTCTCATTGAACATTTGGAGTTAACTTTGACGGTTGTTTGATTACCAATAAAAAAAATTTTGAAAATCAAGTTTTTGTGCTTCAATTTGTTTTGTGCGAATGTCTGCTTCATGATATTAACGCATACGAATTACTTAGAGACTTCAAAATGTTTAGTTCGTATGCACTATTTATGTCTGCGTACGATGAGACCTCATGGAAAATTACTAATTACCGCTTTGGGCTCTTTTTTGGCGGACAGACATGCATAGAAGTTTGATATTTTTTGATGATTTTTAATATTTAATATTTTTCAGAATAAAATTTTTTTGAACGTTGGCGTGTCAAATGAAGGCCTTTGTGTCTTTCTGATTGGCCGGAGCAGAAAGCTTTCTGATACAACTCTGCGCTGAACTGGTTTTCACACGAGTTAAATGATTTAAGGTTCAATTTTCGAACAACAATTGCATGCGATTTACTTGTTTATGTTCATTTAACTGGTTCAAGCCCATTTAACATGTTTAGCTCGTCAATTTGAACACATTATTGTAAAATCCTTCTATCGACCTTTTTCGTTCTCAAAACGCAGCACGACGAAAAGAAGAACTGTGCATGTTCGAATAAATCGCTGCAGCAAAATCGTATAAATCATTTAAAACTATGGCCGGCATTGTTGTAATTTTTTTCGGAACAGATTCGCACCGACAGAATTGCATAGGTGTGTGGATACCTTTATGGTTAAAATCGCTATAACTGTTGAGTATTTTTCAAAAGGAAATATATTATAATAAGAGTTTCCGTATTGTTTTTCGCGATCTGAAACAACCCCAGCGCATTGTAACCCCAAAACTAGCTAAAACACCAGTGAGTCAAGGTGATGGCACTGTTTTTTTTCTTTTGCATGCTGCGTTTCCTTTACCGACGCTGATCATTTTTCTAATACTCGTTGAGTCTATAATGCTTGATACACATTTAGGGTATTCACAGTTTACTTTTAAAGTTAAAAGGTGGCAACTTTAACAAGATAACACACTCGAACTGTGAGCCACCCTGCACACATGTGTTTGAAATTGTCAATAAAACAAATGTAGACAGATATATATTTAAAAATCTTTCGAATTGCGCCCACCTTATATTTTTCTGCTTCACTATCCATTTTTTCTTAGCGCGAATAATTAACTAAACAGAGATGCCAGTTTAAAACAACACAAAAACATAAGACAAAGTCGAGTAATTTTGCCCAAAAGTGTTATCTCTAATGAGTATGGGAACCAACAGCAAACAAAGTTACCACATGGTAAAATGTTTTAAAGTTACCAGGTAGCAAAATTAACACAGTAGATAATATAGAACTGTAAAACCTAATTAAAAACGACGGGCCACAAGTCACAGCTTCCAATTGGTTATCTTCATTATCTAAACCCTTTGTCCACGGCGACATGCATTTTTTGAACGCCGCTGTAGACTCCGACCGATTAATCGGCATCCGCCGTTTTTTGGCCGATTCCTTTTAATTTTTCCGCACTTCATTCAGTCCATGTTATTTATTTTTTGCTTTTTTAATTCCTTAAAAGCTTAAAATATTAATGCATCTTAGTCCCCCTGTCAAAAATCTGTTCTTATGTTTCGTTTTTATGATGTACGGTGGCGAGAATGTAACTACGGAAGACACATTTTAGCAACGGCTATTGCAGCAGGCTCAACTCCTACATGACCAGAATCAACGAGGATGTGCCCAACCAATGCCCGGCATGTGGAGTGTCGCCACATGACTCCCGGCACCTCTTCACATGCCCTGATAACCCAACTCAGCTAACGCCCCTGTCCCTATGGACAGCCCCTGTGGAAGTAGCACACTTCCTGGGCCTCCCCCTAGCTGAAACTGACGACAACGTTGATGGATGAACCGCCCTGAACGGGGCTTAGTAGCCGCTACAACAACAGCAACAACATATTTTAGCAAATTTTGGCTATTTTTCGTTGTTTAAATTTTTTTTTCATTTTTTATGAAAATATAGATTACTACCTAACAAAACCATGTAAATCAAAATTTCAAACTGTTTAATCAGATTTTATAGAACCTTTTTGAGTATGATTTTTTTTTTTTAATTTTAGTGTTAGTAATAAAGGACTTATCATTAATTTTTGGCAATCAAACAAAATAGTTGCCAAAAATCAACGGCACCTAAGTCTTAGAATTTGCAGTTCGTTATAATACAATTGAATGGGCTACAAATCTGCACACTCCGAATGTTTCTGAAAAATCTAATTAAAAAGCTGTCGAATTTTGCTATTTTTTGTACAAAGTTTGAAATTTTTACTTGCATGGTTTTTGTTAAATAACGACCTATACTTTTATATAAAAGTAATAAACATTAAATAAACGAAAGGCAAATAGCCAAAGAATTCTAAAATGTCTCTTCCATACTTATATTTTCGTCACTGTATGTATTGTTACGATTATCCTTGAATTAATCGCTGAATTCCGTTACAACCATGATACAAAAAAGAAGTTAGTTTCAATAAACAATTTTTGACGGATAATAAATTGTTTTGAACGTTTATAAATTGTGAGCATGATTCAATTATGTAAGGTCTTGTAAGTAGCTTTTTTCTAAAATTTGGCACTCCCACCCACAGGGATGGTTTATGGAAGCAGGAGAAAAAGGGGAAGAATTCAATCACACTTCCTAAAATGGGAGCTAAATTCCATAAAAAGGTGTGGATAATAGTGAATGGTGGTATTTTAAACAAAAAACGAATTTGATTTAATTATTTAATTTAAACAAGCTTATTTGCATCGAATATAACCCCCGATTGTTATTAAAAATAAATATTTCTATGTATATACCAAACTTGCGTACGTCAGATGGCGCATAACTCGCTTCCACACTTTCAGCTTTTTTTTGTTGTATTTGTTTGCCAGATGGACATGAAGAAGCTATTTGTTTGTGGAAAATATGCAATATTTATAAAAAAACGGCAAATAAAAAAATTTGGAGCTACGTTTCTTTCGCGGTTATGGCTCAATTGTTTAGAATATGGTAATTCGAATACTTTGATGTCACACTTTTAATGTTCTGGGGCCTTTCAACTAATCGCTTTCAACAAAGGTGGTCGCCAGCCAACATTCGCCTCGTGCGTACACCTTTTAAGTGTGCAATTACATCGCGCCATTGACTAAACCGAGCTGTCGTGTGACGATTGGGCCTATGGATGCAGTTTGGCAATGTTATATTGCGTCCAAAGTCTCATTTGGAGACACCAGGATTGTGTTGTGGAGGACAATACCTAAATACCTTCGTTGGCTCATTTACCAAAACCATTGAACGCATTACTTTACAGCGACTTGGCAGAATCAAGAGGTATCCACGAATACATTTCGGCATTTAAGGGAATTTCGTATCTTTAGCCTACATTGAATTTCTGTAGTCCAACGATTCTCACCCATTTTGTCTTGTTGGCGCTAGCGAATGAAGAACAAGAATTTCTTCAAAAAATTTAAAAAGTAAAATTTTCACTACTAACGATTTAAAAATGCACTTGCAAACTTGCAAAGAAATTTGGAAAAGAAATATCACTGCTTTTGTTTTTAGGAGTAGGGTGGGAGTGTCATTGATAAAATTAGAGCGAGAGAAAGTTTTTCTTACAAAACCTTTCATTATTGAATCATGAATTGTGAGTATATCAACGGCCTTGCCACTTTGCTAATATTAAAACAATAAATCGCGATATTTTCTTTCCCATATTTATGCCAATGTAATAATATTTCAAATTACTTGGTATTTTTTTACTTACGTGGTTCGCGCTTTTTTATTAAAAATATATAAAATGAAAACTGTTAAAGGAGACTTCATGGTAATTGTTCATTTAATTTAATAAAAACCACGAGAGCATAATGTTGTTATTTTCTTAATTTTCTTACTTAATCTTGCGATTTAAAAATCTAATTCTAAAGGCAGTGTTACACGATACAAATGTATAGATTTGTACATTTTTTTATATTCGGCATTAGTACAAAATAAGAGAATGGGGACGTATATTTTTTGTACTCACAGGATTGGTACAAACAATGAACATCTATTGAAAAATTTTAATAAATCGTTTTTCGTGATTGGGATATATTCATGCATTCACTCTATTGGGAATTGCACCAAATTTTGGGCAAAACGTCCAATCGTGTGATACTGCCTTAAAGAAGTTTCTTCCTAACTGTTGCGCCAGATTTCCTAGTTTTCAATTCCTAATTAAAAATGAGTTATTAACATAAATATATTCCGAAATTAAATTATTATACTTACCTCACTTACGAAGTAAACCTATTGTCTAACATACTTACCACTTACATACATACTTACCCGAATTATATTTAACTACCTATTTGCTCTATACTTACCTTATTTACATATTTATACATGCATACTTACATTATTATTGTACATAATTTCTTAAAGCCGTTGAACT